TATGTGCTTCAAGGAACACCTCTATGACGGTGTCAACAAACATTATAGGCATCATATTTAGAGTAGGACAGGTGTACCTAATAAAGGAACCATTATGTCCACATGTTTTTGTTTAGGAGGAAAACAAACACAATTCAAATTGATGCAGCAGATCTTTACATAATTTAGTGTAGAGCTGCAACGAATAGTTGAGTTAGTCAATCAACAGAAATGCACTGCCAACTATTAATTCTTAGTCATTTTTCTGGTTTTAGCTTTTCAAATGTAACAATTTGTCACAAATGACACCAGGTTAAATATTTTGACTTTAGAAATATTGGAGACGTCACCATAGCCTCTGAGAAGTTCTGTCCCTTTTTTCACTGTTTTCTTAATGTTTCAAGGTTACTTAAAAGTAATAGATGAATGTTTGAAATCTCCAGTTTCTGCCTCTCAGAGTGGAGATGTAAACATGACCCCATCAATATGTGTTTAATTATTTCAACACAATCTAGTTTTATATAATTAGTAGTGTTCAATAACACGGAACACATTTAAAATACGGCAGTTGTTGATGAAGGGGCAACTGCAGTCATGGCTATGTGTGTAAACCAATGCTCTCCAGTGGATTATCCTGATGACTCCCAGTGCATTGTGGGGATATTGTTGCCATCAGGCTGTGGTGTTGGGAGAGTTGATTTTGGTCCCTTTAGTTTATTTTTCAAACAGCAGCAGGAACCAGTGCAACCACATAGTCAGCTGATTGTTTATTATTGTAGGGATTGAATACTCAGCTGTGATTGGCTGGTGAAGATTTTAAAAGGTTTAATATTTCTAAGTAACTGTTGGCTGTTTCCTGTCTAATTAGATCAGAAGAACTCCAGTTCTACAATTAAATTAACTGGCTCTGCCTGCTGGTGAAAACATATTACTGTAGACAGTTCAGCTTATGTCCTGCAGGAATTATTTATATTTCTAAGTTACAATATAATAAAGACATCTATTTACATTTTTACCTAAATAAAAGAGCATTAGTTGGATCCCATTAAAGGTCCATTGTGTAATATTTAGATCTGTTGGCACAAATGGAATATAATATTCATAGGTATGTTTTCCTAAATGCTTGGAACGGGATGGAACAGTTAGTCAACAGAAAAGTCATCAGCAACAGTTCTGATAATATGAGTAATATATTGAACCTCTATTGAGTTTTGAACTGTTCAGACAAAAAGAGACATGAAGACCAACTAATTAGCCGATTATTTGACAGTATTCTACTATTCTAGGTTAATGGACAATTAATGGACAATGAAAAGTAGTTTTATTCTGTTACACTTTCTGAGCTGTGCTTTTTGATTTTTAGAAGTTCTCCAGATATGCGTGAACTCAGTAAATAAATGTGTTTGTAGATGTTTTAACCTCTCTCCTTTTCTCTCTCTGCTCAGGTATTGTGGAGGACTACCAGCTGCCGTACTATGAGATGGTGCCCTCTGACCCCTCTTATGAAGACATGCTGGAGGTGGTGTGTGTAAAAGGACTGCGGCCCACAGTGTCCAACCGCTGGAACAGTGACGAGGTGAGACGCAACACTGAGTTAAAATCGAGAGGCCCCTGCTGTCATCTTCTGTTTCCTCTTCTAGTCTGTGGAATGCCAATAGCCCTGTGACGCTGTACTTGGACACAGCGGTGCGTTGAGCTACACGCTAGCATGTTTGTAGACTCAGTCTTGTTTTTTCTATGAGGGAGATGTTTTATTTACTCATTGTTTATTTATAAAGGGACAGTGCACATCAATAAACTGCTGTGAATGTACTTGAGTACATGCTAAAGGGCTATTTTTCATCTGTGGTCCTGGGATGTGATTAACTCCTGGACACAGACTGACCTCCTGACCTCTGAATGAGGTTTGTCTAACTGTGTGTGTGTGTGTGTGTTCCCGCAGTGCCTTCGGGCCATGCTGAAGCTGATGTCAGAGTGCTGGGCTCCTAACCCCGCCTCCCGCCTCACCATTCTCAGAGTCAAGAAGACGCTCGCCAAGATGGTGGAGTCCCAGGACATCAAGATCTGACCGCCCTCTTCATCCTCATCTTCCTCCTCCTCGTCCCACCGCCGCCGGATTCACCTGAACCCAGAATACACCTGACAGCTGACCTGGACCTGATCAGACTAGACCGGCTTCCCCAGGCTCAGTACATCAGTCTTCATCACGAGGAGGAAGAGGAGGAGAAGTGTGGAGTTAAAGAAAGGACCCACCTCAGGGCTGAACTGTGTGTCTCCTCCTGCTTCCTCCATCTTCAGTCTGTCTGGGGCCTGGAAACAAACATGGAGTCCTTCCTCCTCCTCCTCCTCCTCCCTCTGTGCCCAGTGGCTCACAGGGAGCGAGACTGCCGGTTTGACGCTTTCTGTGAAAGCCAAGCGAGACAATTATTATGACAACTTCCTGTGGAGGGGAGAGGAGGGGTATCTCGATGCTCGTCGTTAATGAACCGAGAAACGTTTGAAACCCTTTTTCTTTTTTTTCAGGACCCGCCTCACCCAGCCTTCCTCCACTTCTGTCTGTTTCAAAACATTAAAAATGCCAATTTTTGTTGTTATTTTCTCTTCAGGACTGAGTTCTCCTGCCATATTGAAATATATCTCCACTCTAAAAGTAGAGTTAATTATAAAAAATTAAGGTACTATTATAATATGTGAATTTTAATGTGTAAATAAATGTTATCATTAGATGCCGTGCCTACTCATAGGAAGATTGAAAAGACCAGAACACTATGCTGCAGTGGTGTTGACGTCCAGCCGACTCCTCAGAGACGTTGACAGGAGATAATGGAGTCACTATGGAGACGTCTCCCGTCCTGTCTGTCTGTCTGTCCGTCCTGTCCTGTCCTGGTTCATGTTTGTCTGTCAGCTGTTTGTTTGGAGATCAGTTATAAAGAGGAGGAGCTGCTCTGGTGGCAGAGAAAAATCTCATTGGTTGAGTTAAACCTCAGTGGGTGGAGCCAAAGTGCCAACCCTGAAGGACATCTCACTCCGGTCTGCGAGCCAGTCAGGAGTGCTGTGTGTCACTTCTTTTGCTGCCATGGAAACAGGTTGAACTCGTTTTAGTTCAGGATGAGAAGGTCTACTTTAAACTCTCTTTTCATTGAGATAGGAAAGAACCTCTAACATTGGTGCGTACATTCACTTTGGCTCCTCCCACTGTGGTTTCACCTGTCCAATCAGATTATTTGACTTCAGACTTTCAAAAATGTTTGTAGATGTCAAACTGAGTGTCCTGATTGGTCTGTTTGAGATTCATTTATTACAAAATAAGAGTCACACTTTCTACATTCTATAACATAATAATCACAAAGTGATTTCCTTTGCATTTTGGGACAAAACTTTCTCAGTAAGAATATTCGGGAAACTGGTCCAGAATGTGGTTAGCTTAGCTTAGCACAAAGATTGGAAACCTGCAGAAACTGTTAGCCTGGCACCATCAAAAGAGAAAAGGCCCACCCTCTAACAACAAATCTGATGGTTTATTGAACCAAATAAAAAAATGAAATCTAATACAAAAATGAGATATTGTGGTTTTAAGCAGTTTCCCTCTGCTTCCAGTCTTTGTGCTAAACTCAGCTAACCGCACCCCGGACCCCTCTGGATGAAAAAGAGGATTCAGCTAAAATGTTGGACTGTTCCTTTGACTGTTCTGTGTTGGCTTTCTCTCTTCAGCAGCAGGACGACGTGCACGTGTTGGCTGTGTGTGTGTGTGTGTGTGTGTGTTTGTTTGTGAGAGTGAGAGTGAGAGTGAGTGAGTGAAGCTAACCGTTCATACAGTAGCTATTTAAGAGCAGTAACTTAGTGTTTTTCTCTGTATTAAATATGCAAGAAAACCCCATTATAGGAATAATCTCTAATATGTAAATCTTTCATGTTTTTTTGTTTCGGTGTTGTTGTTGTTGTTTTGTACAGCATCTGGTTCGGTGCCTTATGAGTTTACCAAGGAAATGAAAACTCTGTATACAGTCTGTCCAATGTAACGATTTTTAAGTAAATAACCTTATTTTAGTACACAAACTCACAGCATCCACTCTGCTTCTTCCACCTGTTGTTTTGTTACAAAAGCATGCTTTATGTAAGGAAACACATTTCTGCTAGAAGAAAGAAAAAAATGTATGAAAATAGCAACAATAGATTAAAAATACGGTAAAAATAAATGTGAAATCTTTTAGGTAAGTCATAACTGCAAGATATAATGTCCTAAATGATAAAAATATAGGGTTAGGATTATTATAGATTACATGTTAAATTCTTATAGATTTACGGTGGGTAATGTATGCCTTTGCTCTGGCTTGCCGCCATATTGCCATTGCGGGCATCAGACTATGTCATGAAGTTGGTTCGGACAGGAAGTCAGGAGTCTTGGTGTTAATTAGCTGGGTTACTGGAGACAAAATTTCCCAGAAACCAAATGGCCTATGCGTTCAAGTCAGAGAGGAGGAGAGAGAGACTTCAAGCAAGTGTTTCTTTCTGGCTGGGCAACCCCACCATGCTCTCCCTATGTCCATGTGTCGAGACTCTGGAGCAGCTCAGCAGCAGCAGCAGCTAGCCGTGGCTAACAATAGCTATTTAGCATGTAGAACGGGTCAGAGTAAGGTTGGTAACGTCTGTATGAATGAAACAATCTGCAAAGACTGATTTAAGTTGGCGTTAATGTTTTCACTTGGAAAACCTATGGTCTGTTTGAGTCATGCACGGTGCAATGTCAGAACTTAATAATGCAAACTAAACTGTGCAATAACCCAAACAATGAACTCTGCAAGTGTGTGACTTAATAGACTTTTATTTGGACAAACTGTTTTCTTGTCCCTGACACTTGGCCATTGTTCTATTGGACAATTTACTTTACATTTCTTCACAGAAGTGAAGCAGATGCTGAGATATAGGCCTACTGTGTATATTTTTCTTTTAAGTTTTGTTACACGCCTTACAATCAAGAAGGTCATGCAACTTCTTTTCAGTTTGAGACATCTTGTAATCATTCATGAGAAGAGAAAATCTCTCTGTACTAAAGAGTAACATTTGGCGGGGGGGGGTCTTTGATCCAACTGAGCAGGATGCACTTCTCATGGAGTCTGTAGTGTGATACAGGGAGATGTAATTCCCTGGAGAGAAAACAGAAAAGGAAAACACCAGGGTCTTTTTTTAATTTTTATTTTAAATATGCCACTTACTACCTGGGAGATAAATGTCCAGAATCTGGAGATTAGTTTACAGTCCCAGAACCAGTGGACATACGTCCCCCTATCAGAATGGCACTTGATGCACAGAGGAGAGAGGGAACGATTTTATTTAGTTCAAGGTAACTGGTGACTTCCTCAGTCTGTCTGTTACATGTAAACGTGGATCCTATCAAGTCTATAGCTGCCTGCCAGTCATCTTCAACATATTCACTACTAAGTCTCTTTCCCATTTACCAGAAATATTTTTATAATTCATATGTGTCAGAGGAGCGGAGAAGTGAATAAAATGGCGCTCCAATATGACAGAAAAAGAGGTAACCTGAGAAGATATAAAATGTCTCTTTTGCAAATAACCAAAGAATATCAAACATCTCTTCTAAGTTCTAACTGTTGAAAGGACAGTATAGCATTAACTTTAAATCAGTCACCAAGAACATGAATCCCCCGACTTGCCAAGAGCAGAACAAAGATGAACCGGTGCCTGCAGGAAAGACATGATTTTGGACTATGGGAAACAGCAGGGATTTCAGTTTTCTTTCCCAAATATTTAGTTATATCATGCCAGACTCTGATACTGTTGTACATAATTCGATTGTGCTTTAATTCTGAATTTATCTTATTTGCATCACAAGTGACCAGAACAAAATACCAAATTGGGCATAGAAAGGCCATCCATATAAGTTTTTTGCCATGCCATATAAAGTCAGCAATGGATATGAAGAAGAATGATTCTACCAATTAAGGGCAGTTGTAGATTATGCCATCGCTCTAGGTCTTTTTTTTTGACTAATGTGCCGATCCTTCAGATCTGGGGGTACTTTTATTCCGAGATATTTTAAAGCGGAGCTAGTCCACTTAAAAGGAAAATTTTCTGTAACTTCTGTGTCCTTAAGGGTTCCTAATGGCAATTGCTACGATACACACAGCCAAGGACAATATGTTCACTATACAGGTAGCCAGATAGAAGTACACAGCGTCCCTCCTTATCTCTTCTTGTTTTATCAAGTGTAAAGGGCAGGCAACAGTGTAGAGTGAGTGTAGAACAGTGCAGTGATAGCAACCCCCCTGCTGTTTGAGTTATGTGACGAGTAGAACACCTGACCCACCCAGCTCCTCCTTAATTTAACATGTTCTACATTGGAAGGGTGGGTTTCTTGGAGAAAGGCTATATTACATTTTTTATTCTGAAGGAACGACAGGATTTTCTGGCATTTGATGACATGGTTAATGCCCTTCACATTAAGTGAGGTAATTTTAAGATCACTCATGTTTTTTTTTTATACTTTGTACAACAGTTGAAAGGTCATAGGTGGGCACTACTGCCACACAGATAAATGCATGGGCAGCGACATATAGCATCCCCACGGGCCGGAGCAAACACAAACAGGAAACATAACACAATAGAAAATGAAATGAAATTTCAGCAAGGATCCATCCCCAAACAATGGATCAAGTCCCAGCAACAAACAGAACCCCTCAAGCATTAACATCTGTAACCTACTGTTACGTAAGAAAAAAGGAGCATCTGACAGCATGCAGCAGAAATCCTTCTCAGAACCTCTGGAATTCCCAAAAAAAGAAAATTCAGTAGTCCAGAGAGATAATCTGAAAATGATGTATCCATGGTGCGTTCGTTTTGTCTCGT